AATAACTTTTTCCAATCTGGAGAAGCCTGTGTTCTGTTGAACATCTCTCTCTCTCTCTCTCTCTCTCTCTCTCTCTCTCTCTCTCTCTCCCCTCTCCCCTCAACCTCTGACATTTCTTTATTTCTTTAAATAAACATTTCTTTAAATGAAACCATTTTACTTCGGACACACACACACACACACACACACACACACACACACACACACACACCACGCATACCAGAGAGCCAAATTTGGGGGTCTAGGAGAGTTAAGGCACGTACATGACTTGCATGCAACTAGCCCCAGTTTCGTGTTTGTTTTGGCTCACACCCAGTGGTGCTCAGGGTTTACTCCTGGCTCTGCGCTCAGGAAACATTCTAGGCAGGGAATGAGGACCATATGGGGTGCCAGGGACCGAACCCAGGACGGCTGTATTCAAGGCAAGTGCTCTACCTGCTGTACCTATCACTTTAGCCCCAACCAGCCCAGTTTGATCCCAGGCATCACATGCAGTGCCATAACAAAGCCACAAATCACTCAGTGCATAAACTCAGGCAGAGCCCCTGGGCACCACTGGCTGTGGCCCAAACCTCTCCTCCCCATCCTGAAAAAGTAGAATCCTCAGTTTCCCCCAATAGATGCTGACCAATTCCAACCGTGGATTTATCCTGGAACTGAACCTCCTATAAATACCTCCTATAAATATAACTGAATATAACTGAATATAACTGAACCTCCTATAAAGGAGCAACTGTGTGGCTTCAGGAAGTCTCTTCTACTTTTAGGTTGATGAGTCTCTGATTTCTGGTCTTCTGAACTGAAAGCTGTGTGTAAAGTAACGTGTCACACCAGGTGACACTGCATTCCCCCTCCCTCCCACCCTCCCTCTTTCCCACACCTGGTGGAGTGGGGGGTGGGGGGCAATGCTTAGGAATTACTCCTGGCTCTGCACTCAGGAATTACTCCTGGCAGTGCTTGGGGGATAATATGGGATGCTGTGGATTGAACCCAGGTCTGCTGTGCTCAAGGTAAATGCCCAGCCCGCCGAACTATCACTGCAGCTTCTCCCCTCCTATTTCTCTCACTGCGTGTAACAACAAGAAAATCAGTTCAAGGGCCAGAGAGATAGTAGAAGAGTTAAGACACTTTCCTTGCACGTGGCAGACCAGAATTCATCCCTGGCACCGCATCTGGTCCCCTCAACAGAGACAGGAGTGATTCCTGACCACCACCCGTGTGGCGCCAAAATCAGAAAAGAAAATCCGTTCAGTGAAAGTAAATCTTGGGAGCATTACTGCTTCATCTGGTACTTTGGCTCGTTAAATACTGTTGATGACTTTATTACAGGCCAGATTTGATAACTGCCCTCTGCTGCCCCAGAAAACAGAGTGGATGTTAATTATTTGTCAAAGACTTCATTGCCCTGGGCAGGAGAAATACTTTGAGGTTGTAAGTCTCTCTCCTTTGAAGCCAAGTACCTCTCAGCTCTGGGAACTCAAAAACAGGTACACAATTCCAAGGGGCCCAAGCATCGGGTCTACACTGCATCTCCAGCTGCTCTTTCCGGGTGCATTTGCATTCAAAACCCCTTCCATGCCCCATCCTGCCCAGCAGGCAGTACTATTTCCTGAGCAGTGGCCCTTTTGTCTTTATTTGGGGAGGGAGGCATCACCTGAATGCCATTTGAGGCTGGGGACCACTCCCAGTGGGTGGGCCTGATGGTGGTGCTCAGACCTTGTGCCGCCAGGCTGATACCACACCGCTTGGATTGGTGCTCAGAGGCACCATGTTGAGTCTGGGGGTGGGGGTGTCCTTTAGTGCCAGAACTGAATACTTGTTTTTTATCTGGCCCAAAGCTAATGAGGAGTTCTACAGAGAATACAATAGTTTTCTCATCCAATCAAACTCCGTTAACAGTTTTGGTTTTCCCCAACAGGTAGTAACCTTCTGATGATACCCTATTACATCTCTTGTGATATTCATAGAAAATATTTCCAATGACAGTCACAGCCACGGTATCTATAGTGATGATCTGACATTGATTTATGAACCACAGACAATACTTTCTTCCTTAAGCTAACCTGACCTATAGAGATCAGACTTCTGTTCCACCTTCTATTAGCACTTTAAGGAAGGAAACAGTTCAAAGTCAAATGTGCATTAAAAATTGGGGCTGGAGAGATAGCACAGCGGGTAGGGCGTTTGCCTTGCACGCAGCCGACCCAGGTTCGATTCCCAGCATCCCATATGGTCCCCTGAGCACCGCCAGGAGTAACTCCTGAGTGCAGAGCCAGGAGTAATCCCTGTACATCGCCAGGTGTGACCCAAAAAGCAAAAAAAAAAAAAAAAAAAAAAAAAAAAAATGTTTCAACAAGCATTGCCCTATGTCAACGAATAAATAATTTGAACCAGGGACCACTTCTGTATGGCTAATTCTACTACAAGAGGGTCTTGTATGACTAAATTTTGTATCTGTGGACTGGGAACAATGACACAGTGGTTGAGCGTGTGCCTCTCATGTGTGAAGTCCTGCATCTGACCCCTGCCAAAGGCTTAAGAATTAGGAAATCCTGGGGGCCAGAGTGATAGTACAGAGGGGAGGGTATTGGCCTTGCACATGGCCCACCTGGGGTGGATCCCCAACATCCCACAGGGTCCCCCCGCATCCGAGCAGCGAGGTAGTAATCCTGAGTGCAGAGCCAGGAGTGATCCCTGAGCACTGCCAGGTTGTGGGCCCTCCTACCCCTCAAAAAAACTAGGAAATCATGTATCTGACTTGGAGCAAATAAAAAAATAAAATCTTATCAGACTCAGGCCAATGATTCCCTTGGAAAAGTAGGACAAGTAGGAGGTAAGGGAAGGCTTCTCACAACAGAATCGTTCCCTGCAAACTGAGGCTTTCACCAACAGAAATGTTTACTGAGAATTTTCCCTTCCTGGTGCAGACAGCTCCTCTAAATTGCTAAATAGCTAATTCACAGGACGCACTTTTTCTTTTTTTTTTTTTTTTAAAAAAAAAAGCTTTAAAATCTATCTCAGGGGCTGGAGTGATAACACAGAGGGTAGGGTGTTTTGCCTTGCACACGGCCAACCTGGGTTCGATTCCCAGCATCCCTGAGCACCGCCAGAAGTAATTCCTGAATGCATGAACCAGGAGTAACCCCTGGGCATCGCTGGGTATGACACAAAAAGGAAAAAAAAATTCATCTCCCTCGCTCCACCTGGTAACTTTTCATAAGGAATAAAGTTTCTTTACACAAAAATGAATCTAGGGGCTGAAGAAATAGGAGAATGGGTAGGGTGCTTGCCAACCTGGATTCGGTCCTAGGATGTATATATTTTGAAAAATACGTAATGAAAATCTAAAGTATGTGAATGCCCATTTCCATTATACTCAAGACCAGTAATATATAACTTCCGTGTCATTTTTCTCGATATACAGTGACATACGTTCCTCTACCAAAACAGATCTAAAGGGCTGACTCTGGACAAGAATGCTGAAAAGAGGTAAAGTGACATACGTGGTAACCTTTCAGTACTTGTATTACAAACCATACTGCCAGAGAGAGAGAGAGAGACAGAGAGACAGAGACAGAAACAGAGAGACAGAGAGAGAGAGAGAAAAGAGAAGAGGTGTCTGCCATAGAGGGAGGCTGGGGGAAGGGGGTGGTGAAAGGGAAATGGGTGGCAGGATATGTTCACTGGTGAAGGGATGGGTGTTGGAACACTGTTGAAACCCAATCATGAACAACTTGTATCTCCATATCCTCCATATACTTTGTAACTGTACCTCAAGGTGATTCAATAAAAAAATAAAATAAAATAGAGATGTACCGTGCTAGGGTACTTGATTGATCCCCGGCATCCCATATGGTCCCTGAGACTACCAGAAGTTTAGTCCTGAACACTGGCCCCCAAACCAAAAGACAAACAAGCAAAGATTCTGGCTTCCCACCTCTTACAACCATCGTCCTCACATCACCACTAAAACCTGGGGGCCTTTTCTAGTTTCAATAATTGTTCCCCGGGTTGGGGAGGCGGGCCACAGGGCGGGGTTCAGTCCCCAACACTGGATGGTCGTTCTAGCTCCAGCACCAAGTGGCAAGCGGTGCCAACACCGAACCAAATCCAACCTGTGGTTCCCTTCAACGGAAGCATCCCACGCTACGAGATCTTCTTCCTGGAGCCCTGGAGGATGGTGCCTGCCAGCCGGCACTCCGGATACTCAAAGGCCACCCCACATCTGGCCTCCAGCACGCCACTCCGGGGACAATGACCATCAATAAGATGGCTGGGAGTTCAGCTTCTCTGGTTATCTCTCCGGGGCAGCCTTGAAACTTTTCTGCTCCCGACTCACTCCGATGCTGCTGTAGTTTGGGGTTTGCTCTTCTCACCCCGTTCCCTGACCTCGCGGGGGAGGAGGGGGGGGGCCTGCCTTCCTCGCCTTTCCTCCACGATCGATCACGCCTTCGTGGAAATACCTGCGCTCCCCTTTTGTCCCCGCCAGGTCGGCTTCCAGGGGCTTTTGGAGAAGCGACCCCGGGAGCGGTGGGGGGCACGGGGGGGGGGGGGGCTGGCGGAGTCACCACGCCACCGCACCTGGCGGGGTCAGCGCCCGTCCCACCTGCCAGGCTAACACCCCTGTCCTTAAATAAACACTGACCGGCCCCGCGACCTGCTCACTCCGAGGGAGGATGGAGCGGCTCCCCGCCCGTCCTTTGTCTGCCGTCTCCGCACCTCCCATGCCCACTCACAAAAGCGTCCGCCCCGCGCAGGTAGGGGGACCCGTCCTGCCCCGGGCAGCGGAGCCCCGGTTTCCGCCTCCACTGGAGGGATGGGCCGGGTCCCACGTTCGACCATTCTAAGACCAAACTTGGGAGCGCGAACCAGGGAGAGCCCCCTTCCTCCCCGAACTCGCCGCTGCGGATGCTGGCAAGGCGAACGGGCCCCCGCCTCCGACCTCGGGCGGCGGGGGAGGCCCCGCGGCGCCCGGCTCCGTCCCGCAGGCCGCCTCTCACCTGGCACGCTGGCATCGCCCGCTCCGCGTCGCACCGGACACCATGAATCCCGACGGGTCTCGGCTGCCACCCACGGCCCGCCCCGACACCCGCAGCCCACGGAGAGGGAGGCAGACGGGGACGCGCGGACCCCGGAGTCGAGCGCGCCGCCACCGGGAACGCGCCGCCTGGTTTCTAAGGAACCGGGAGCTCTGCAGAGGGAGGGGCGGGGCGGCGGGCGGGCCACGCATGCGCCCTGGTGGGGCTGGCGGGGCCGGCGGGGCTGGCGCGGCGCCGGGCGGTGGGGGTGCCGGGCCCGCGCCGCGCATGCTCAGTCTCTGGGGGCGGAGCTAGGTGGCCTGGCCGAGCATCCCCGGTCATTCATTTCCGGTCGCGCAGGCTTCGGGCTGCCAGTATCGTTTGCTTTCGGGTCCGCCGCGAGGCCTCTAGAGCGAAGAGGTTCTGGGCGCGGTGGTGGCCTAATGAAGGACCGTGACGTTTCTTTGCAGAATGCCACCCCTCTCCCGCCCGCCGAGCTTCCAGGTGCTTGTCTGGGCTCCTTTCCCGTTGCATGCTGGTTGTTCTTTAGATGTCAGTGCTCTTCAGTTTTCTGCGCTCGGTCCTCCTGATCTCTTTACCAAAACCTCTGCCCCTTCCCTCTGCCCTACCCGCCCCTGTCAATACCGTTTTGCAAGATAGCCCTCCACGGCAAAACCTGGCAGGCTACCCGTGGCGTATTCAATATGCCAAACACAGTGACAAGTCTCACGATGGAGACGTTACTGGGCCCGCTCGAGCAAATCGATGAATAAAGGAAGGACCGTGACCCCAGGCAGCTAGAGGAGCTGCAAACACCTGCTAGTTCCCCAGGTAGAGTAAAACCGGTAAGTCTGTAAACAGGCTGTGTTGGACATGTGTGCTTGGGGCGATTTCTGCATGGGGAACCCGCACCCCAGCCTGTCTGTCTGAACTCCTGCTCCAGGAGGATGTCCTTGTCCTCTTTCCAAGGTAGCCTGTGATGAGACATGTCTCTTGAGCCGAGGTAGTTACCACGGAGACCTGCTGGCAAACAGCCATCCTGCGTGGCAGCAGAGGTAAGACTTTCGACCACCGTGAACGCTTGGTGAATGGTGTGAAGCTGCTAACTCCATTTCTGGTGGGGGTTCCTTCTCTGAATGTGGACCAACCAGGTGGAATGGCAGAATTTAAAATGTGCTCGTCCTGGGGCCGGAGAGACACTACAGCGGGTAGGGCATTTGCCTTGCCAACCGGGGTTCAATTCCCAGCATCCATCCCATGTGGTTCCCTGAGCACTGCCCGAAGTAACTGCAGAGCTAGGAGTAAGCCCTGAGCAACACCAGGTGTTAAGCCTGAAAAAATAAAATGTGCTTGTTCTCTTCTTGCTAGCATTTAATCTAGAGCAGGTTTCTCAGCTTTGGCACTGGAGCCTGTTAATTTTGTGTGATGGGGAGCAATCCTGTGCATTCAAGTATGTTTCGACAGCTTCCCTGACCTCACTCCACTAGATTCCAGGAGCTCCCACTTGTTATTACCAAAACATCTTTGGACATTGCCTACTGTTCGATGGTGAGGTGCAGGGGGGGATGTAAAATCATTCCATGTAAGAAACTCTAGAGGGAAATGAAATCTCTGGCTTCATAGAAAGAGAACTTTTAAGTGCTTAATCTATTACTTCATTCTTCCCTCCATTCTCTTCCCTGAGTTCTGTAATCGTGCTAGGAAACACACTATGTTGTAAAGCAGCCTACAGAGTCATGTGGATTTGGAATGTGCTGGCTTCAAAGCACATTTTCAGAGTTTTCAGGGAGCTGGCCATGCTCCCCATAGACACCCCTCCTCAGTCCCCCTGCTCTGGTGCCAGGTAGCCCATCTCTCTTAGGCTTCCACATGCTGTCCAGGGACATCTAGTCACCCCTTGTCTTTCCTGTTCCCCTGTATTATCTTGTGGTTCCCTTTTCCCTCATCACCCCAAACGCAGAACCTGTATTTGTCTTTTGCGACTCCCATCTCCCTCACATCCTGTTATGCTAACACTTATCGCCTTCATCTTTCTCAAACCTGCCCTGTGTCTGGCCTATTGCAGTTGCCTCTTAGCTGGTTTCCGGGCATCCAGTCTCTCCTTGGCCCCACCTCCAGGAGGTATCGGTGTCATCTCTTGGAACTTTCTGAAACCTTGGATTCAGAAGGCATGGGAGGGGGCTGGAGTGATAGCACAGTGGGTAGGGTGTTTGCCTTGCACGCAGACGACCTGGGTTCGATTTCCAGCATCCCATATGGTTCCCTGAGCACCAGCATCCCATATGGTTCCCCGAGCACCGCCAGGAGTAATTCCTGAGTGCATGAGCCAGTAGTAACCCCTATGCATTGCCAGGTGTGACCCCCAAAAAAGTGAAAATACAACAACAACAACAACAAAAACAACAGAAGACATGGGAGACAGTCTGGAGCCCGACACACGCCAGGGAACATGCTGATGGAGGCACGCACTTCCTCTGAGCCCCTGTGCCACGGGCTGCCCTCCCAATGTGTGCTCCAATTCTCCACCTACAGGGGAGGATTAAATGCACTTTGTTGATTGGTTTGGGGGCCACACCTGGGGGCTCCGGGCTTACTCCTTGCCCTGCAATGAGCTCAGTCCTGATGGGACTCAGGAGACCATACAGGTGCTGGGGATCAAACCTGGGTCAGTCCTACCTGCTGTACTATCACTCCAGCCCCTCAATTCTTTCTTAAATTTGCTACTTGTCTAAGAGGAAAGATCTTTGGGGGCAAAAATAGCAAGGCAGCTTAAGAACTGAAGTTTGCAAAACTCTTGGGGGATTCTGCAAACACCTGAGATTTTGATGGTCCTAACTTCAGGCCTGGACACTCCAGAGGTAGGCTGAGCAGAGGCCAATAAATCCAGGACCGTGTGCCACCCAGGGGATGCCACCCCTACCAAAACCGAAAACAAGACACTCAGGACTGCCCATGGACGTGTATTTTAATAAAAATAATTCTGTCAAAATACAACAGGAATTTTTTTTTTTATCTCAAGTACAATTTCATAGGATGTTCTGTGTTAGAATTCTAAGCTCTCCCATGCCCACAAGTTTCATGCTAATGCCAAGTATGGACTTGCAAGGACACGGGCAGAACCAGTGTGCGCGCGCTGGGGGGGACGTCTGTCTCAGCTGTGGTCATGAATGGAGGAGCCCTCTGCAGAGGCGGCGCCTGGGGCAGCCAGGGCCCAGCTGGGTCTCGGCTCCCGGCTGGGGCTGGCAGGCACATGGCCCCTGCTGGCCGGCTGCCACGCGGCATGCATACCTGAGTTGTGAGCAACCAAAGGAACCTGCAGCTCTGACAGTTCTCTGCCTCGTCTTCTTTGTGCTTAAGGGGGAGGGAGGTGCTGGGTGCAGACAGTCCCCACCTCTTCATCTCTTGGGTGTCCCTGTTCTGACCATCACAGAGCCACAAGGGTCAGGGGTTCTGGCCTTCTTTGCATGCTCTGCCAGGAGAGACCCTTTGGCGCCCCAAGGGGAAAAGGTAGGTAGGGAAAGCTGCTTCCCCTGGTCTGGAGAACCCACAGGGGCAAGTGTTGCTGCCCCCGCAGGTCAGGTCCAGCCCTCCGGAGCCCTCCCAGCCACCCGCTCTCAAGGCTCTGGAGGCCTGTGGTAGGTGGTAACATGGGTAACTCCAACTGGCAGCCACACCTGGCCGATGAGACTAACAGCAAGACAGTGGGCTCAAGCAGCTTGGTTTTCGTCCTCTCCACGGCGTGTGGGGCAAAGGCTTATGTCCCAAAGGTAAGCTGTCCCACTGGGACCGAGAGCCCCTCTGGAGAGGAACAGAGTAAACAACTTGGACTCAGCTGAAACAGTGAGATAAGGCACAGAAAATGGGGAGGTGGCCATGGGAACTGAATGTGAGCCAGGCGGACACCCAACCCCAAGCAGCACACGGCAGTCCCGAGCCCTCCTGGGCCCTCTCTCAGCCGCTCCACAAACCAAGCCCAGAAGTCCGGCCCCAGCCCCAACACTGCTGGGGGCCTCATCAGTCTGACCCTCAGACCACCGTCCTGCGCGTGCACGGAACAGGATTGCCCAACCCACAGGGATGAGGTCAGTCCCAGCTCTGCCACTAATTTGCTGTGTGACTTTGGCCAAGTCACATAATCTCCTGGACCTGCTTCTTTCTCTATAAAAGGAAGGGGAGGGGGTCGGTGTGGGGCACACGTTCTTCGAACCCTAGTCCCGCTACAAATGCCTGCAGTTCTTGTTCCCCATCCTGCTCAGGCCAGTGCTACAACAGCCTGATGTTCTGCACCTCTGGGTGAGGGAGCATTTACAGACAGGACACCACGTGATGGGCCATGGGCTGGGGGTTGCCAGCTGGTGCCCTAGTGGGGGCCGAGGCCTGAGGCGCTCACCAGCGGTCAGTCTGATGCCAGCCTGCCTCGTGCTGTCCAGCCACAGGCCCCGCCAACCTTTCCGGTGTCTTCTGATACAAGAGCTCGCCTCGTTCCAGGGCCCAGAATTTGAACTAGTGACTGTCTCCCTTCACGGGGGCAGCCTGTATATCCTTCCCTGGGGGGTCAGAAGGGGTGGGCACCCCCGGGGCTGCTCGGGATGAGGAGCCTCCACTTCCTCTCTTGGACAGTCAGTCCTCTCCACAACTGGTCCGACCAGGTCCCGGCAGCCATCTCGGCTCCTCCTCTCCCGTTCCCTGATGGCAGTGCCAGGAACGTGTCTGTCCCCGCTCCGAGGATCCACGTGAAAAGCCTGCCAGAAAGTGTGATAGCCCACGAGGTCCTGTTTTCAGGTCAGCAAATATTCATCATTGTCTTCCTAAGAGTGGCCAGCTGCAGCGACGGCCTGGCCCCTTGAGTCCAGGACTCCAGCCGGCCACCAACAGGGGCCCGCAAGTCGGCCTCCCCCAGTTCCGAGCTGCTCCAGAGCAAGTACTGCCTCGTCCGAGCCGGGTAATGACGACGCGGGCAGGAAGGAGGCCATCCCGGATGCAAGGGCCTGTGTTCTGGGATGAGCGCTGTCCTCGCCGCGGCCGGAAACACAGCAGCTCTCGAGGTGAAGGCAGGTAGTTTCCAGGCAATAGGAGGAGAGTAACTGGATTATTTGGCCATCTTAACAATGAGGGGAGGCAGGATGTGGAGGGGAAGAGACAGAGGAGCGAGGCAGGGTAGAGCGGCAGACAGCGTGCTGGCCAAC